TTCTCTCTGCGTGAACTCAGCGTAGGACTCAAGAGTCCTTTTATGTGTGCATCACGACTCCACAACATGCTGGTGAAGGAAGTCATGGAGTTGTTTGTGGACAATGAGGGACCAGCAGTGGATGGGTTTGAGGAAATGATGAAGAAATTGCGGCACATCTTCGGTCGCTTTTGTGAGGAGGGAATGTCGCTATCCGCAGTGAAGACTAAATTGTACATGACGGAGGCAGTGTTTGCAGGGGCAACGGTGGGCCCAAAGGGTGTTGCGCCAGTGTCGTGCCAATTTTATATTTGGTATGAACATTCAAAACGGTGTCTCAAAAATTTAGAGCACAGAAGGCAATAATATTTTTGTATGCCACAGCCAGAGCAAATAATTGATGGGAACCTCGGCCCGAGCACAGCCACAGCCATAAAAGTATAGATTACTTACTAAAAGCTGCTGACTGAGATGGATGATCAGCTTATTCAGCATGGGAAAAATGCCTACAGAAAGGGGCAGGCGGCTGACTGAGCGCTTACTGATGCTGACTGAGCAGCTTAGTGAGCGGATTATTCACTGCTTGGTAATACAGAAAACCGGTTCAGAATGGAAAGGGATTCTCATGGGTAAAAGGTATAAAAGGACCATGGATTTTGTACATACAGGGAACAATCAAGTCTCCCAAGTTACCTCCTAACTTACTATTCACTTTCTGCCTACTCATCCTCTGTACTAGCTAGAATTAATTTCAAGTTGGTACTACTGCTAACACTCGAAGCCCTCTTGCTTTACAGGCTCTTATTCACAGGTTTCAGTCCTTTTGGTGGGGACTCTTCTGGAACAGAACCAGGAAATCAGAAAGAACTAGTTAGGCTAGCCCCGGCCGTAGCCTGTGCGGTAGAAAACTAGGTTCATTGCACTTAGACGCCTACTTCGAAACTTGACAAGGTCAGACTAGCCCCAGCCGTAGCCCACGCGGTAGTTGATACGTCGATTAGAGTCAGACTAGCCCCGGCCATAGCCCGTGCAGTAGTTGATTTCGCTGAATACAAGCTTTACCCTTTGAATATCCATCAGTAGTAGTTAGACTAGCCCCGGCTGTAGCCCGTGTGGTAGTTAATTACGGAATTTGATCATAGGCATCATACCCCCAACTTCCTTTCAACTTCCTATAAATTCATCTCAACCCTCTGCAATTGGAATTGCATGAGTTTGTCTGAACAACGTCGCTTCTGACTACTTACATAGGAAACAAAATTTCCACTTGACACTGGACGCGGCAAAACTCACCGCAATAATAAACTGGAAACAGCTGCAGGATGCACTTAATCTGCACACATTTTTGGGGCTAACAAGTTATTTCAGAGACCTTGTCAACAACTATGCTGACATTGAACGGGATCTATGTGACGTTCTGCGGTTGGTCAGTGTCCCTGCGGGTGCGAAGAAACAGGTGTTCTGTATGGCAATGAGGGGCTTCAAGCTAGCGTCAGTATGGAAGGAGAAGCATACCAAGTGCTTCATAAAGCTGAAGTACACAATGTTGTCGGAGCCAGTCTTGCGGGCGCCACGGTTTGAGACAGTGACGAAGTTTACGTTCATCGTAACAACTGATGGAAGCAAGGACGCCTTTGCGGCGGTGCTGTTGCAGAAGATGAGGATAGAGTTGCCAGGGGGTAAAGAGGTGGTATGTTGTCATCCCATCGCATTTGCATCCAAGCGCACATCACCGGCGGTGGAGCGGTACCAGCCCCACTTGCTGGAATTTGCAGCATTGTAATACTCACTTGACAAGTTCTTGGATATCATATGGGGTCAACCAATCAAGCTGGAAACAGATTGTCAAGCACTGAGGGATATAATGATGAATGAGAAGTTGAACGTGACACACACTCGATGGAGGGATGGCATTATGGGGTACAAGATAGTAGCAGCGGAGCACATCAAAGGAATGTCAAATGTGGTTGCGGATGCGTTGAGCAGGGCGGACAAAGGGCGGGAAAAGAGGGCTGGAGACGGCAGCGAGTGGACAGTTTCGCCCGACTGGGAAGCCAGGTCAGGAATCGTCAACGACCTCTTCACAGTAACCGAAGCAGGTGACACATACCTGGTGATGCCAGTACCGGCGGGGTCGATGGCGCTGCAAGAGCGATTCGCGAAGGAGCTGATGTATTTGCAGGTGATCGATGCGATCCTTGAGCTGGATTTTGGGTCAAGTTTGCAGGATTGGAAACGTGCAAGACACCGTGCTTCACAGTACTTCATTGACGAGGGCAAACTGTCGTGCATCCGTGGGGGGGTGGTGGTAAGAGCAAGGTCGAGAAGGGAGTGCTTGACGAGGGTGGAGGCGAGGGCGAAGGCGGTGGAGGTTCATGGGAGAGCAGGCCACTTCCATCGGGATGCAATCAAACTGGAACTGATGGACAGGTATCATAGCCTGAGGCTGGACGAATCTATGGTTAGTGCAATAGCCGACTGCGCGAGGTGCAAAGGGTTTGGTCCCGCTAACCTGCATTCCCTCCTGGATCTGGTGGTATGGAGGCATCCTTTCGAATTGGTTGTAGGTGATTACCTGTCAATGCTGGATGGCAAGGGTGGTTTCCACAACATCGGACTGTACCTGGACACCTGCTCCCAGCACATGTGGGGATTCATGTACACCGTACCGGGGTCGGGTGACACAACGGAGGCAGTGCTAGAGGAAATCTGCACGAAGTACTTGCCGATGGAGACGTTCATGTCCGACCAGGGCCGTCACTTCAAGAACAAACAGGTACAGGCATTCTGCGACCAGTGGGGCATCAAATTCAAGGTGGTATCAGCATACTTGCCCTGGATCAACGGCCTGGTGGAGGGGATGAACAAAATCTTGCTGTATATCTTGGCACGGCTTTGCGCACCGGAGGTGGGTGGCGCTCCATGACAAAAGACAACTTGCTGAAACAATGGCCAAAATACTTCCACGAGGCGATCCATATTCTCAATCTGCACCTATTGCCTTCCGTCAAATTCCGGCCAAAGGAACTGCTTTTCGGCATCGCAGATGCGGTCACAGCATTAACAGAGGACACATTAATTCACATGGCATACGTCCCTCAGCAGAGATTGGACGGTTACGCCAACAGGGTTGCCTACGCACTCGGCCAGAAAGCAGCATTTGATTGCAAGGTTTTGGCATCGCGTGCAGGTGTTGTCGATTTTGAACACGGCCAGCTGGTGCAGGTCTACCGCAGCGATCTCACTCACACGGTCAGCAACGACTGGAAGCTCACAGTTTGGTGGTCGGAGCCCCACAGAGTGACAGACAAGATACTGAATTTGTACGAGCTGGAGACGGTTACAGGAATTCCTATGGATGGCACATTTAGCTCGAGGAGGCTTTGGCTGTATGTCGCGCGCAAAGGAACCCCGTTGGCGTTGGCACAGGCGGAGTTTATGGCCAAGGTTAGGGCGTCTGAAGGGGAGCGGGGAAGGTTGAAGGCCGAGGCGATAGTGAGGCTGCATGCAGCAGAGATTGCGGAGGTGGAGCGATGGCAGGCGGAAGAGATTGGCTGGGGGTTGGAGGAGGAGACAGGCGAGGAGCCGTGGGGAGAGGTCTAGCGTCAGGCGGCAAGGACGCCGCCATGTCGCGGTGGGCACATGTGGTAGGAGATTCTGCGGGCGGTTGTTTGGCCGTGTTTGGCAGCGACAGGATCCATTAGGCACACATAGATACACATCATCACAGTAGCATATACACATTCTCCATATCGACGATCACCATGGGACCACCCCAACACCTCTATGGTCTGAGCACAAATGGGGAAAAAAACAGTCGTGTTATTTGCTTATGTTACTACTACACGTCAAGCTGATTTCCCCAAAGAAATGTGATTCAAGACCCGATCACGTGCTGGAGGGATAGTCTATTAGTTACCGTGCCACCATATGAGGCGTCCTGCGTTATTATATAAGCATCCCTTTTGGGAAGACACGTGCCAGGTATCCTTGACGCGACTAGATGCGACTTGACACGTTGAGAGCGGTAAATAATTGTCCACCTTTTTTAACGAGTCTGAACTGATTCCTGTGAGCCGCCTCAACTTGAAACAAGCTTCTCCCGGAAATTCAGATCGAGAACTAGGACTTCAAAGAAACTCAGGGGTTTTGCATCCCAATTAGGCAAACATGTCCTGGAGATGTAACAAAGAAGCGGGAAAAAAGCAGAGAGAACATACATCTTTTCAGGCTCCTCTACAGCTATCTATGGCTACGATTTGTATCGAATGGCGGCCAAAACACGTAGAATTAGTGGTTTGTTTGGTCATGCATTGCTGATTGTTAATTAATAAGATGGGACGCCGGTAATCAAGGCACGGTAACTAACAGACTGTATATCAGGTGAGGCACGAGCAAATGTTGATACTACAGTGTCTGTCTTAGAGAGACTACTGGAGGGAGTCCATATCTGGAATTCCATTTTCTGTGACCCCTTGGGCCAAAGGGAAAATTTGTGAGCGCAACCCGTACCTACCCAGCGGACTGCTGATCTGGACCCTCCTCCTCCTTGGGTGCACAGCATGTCAAAACTTTCCGAGGTTGATGTCGGAAACTTTACTTCTGCATACCTCTTGCTTTGTACCACCAGAACTGTTCTTTTCTTGCCTTTATCCGTACTTGGCTTACTATCCTGCTGGACTCAGTTGACTGATCTCCTGTATTTGTTCACTCGTTTATTTTATGCTAGTGGAACTTTGTGCATCTGAACAGAGGCCAGAAAGGAATCTTCTTCCATAGCCTTTAATTAGTATTCTGATGGTAGAAAGAAGCCCGGGCCGTGGAGGGATCACATGCTATACATATGGAGCTTGTACATATGTACCCAATATGTATGAGAAATGCTTGCTTGCTCAGCGGCGATCATTGGCACCATGCCGGGAGACTTTAAAAATCCGGTCTGCCCATTATTGTGAGGCTTCAAGGATGGAGCTTAACGTAGTGCCGAAGAAAAGGCTGTACAAAAAGAGTAAAAGATGAATAGCCCACCGCGAGGGTCGAACTCGCAGCCTTCAGATGCCTCGCCTGGAGAGACTCTCGTAAAAGTCTGACGCTCTATCCGATTGAGCTAGGCGGGCGCATCAGTCAATGAGGAGGGCGGGTGAGAGTGTGAAGAGAAAGTACGAGATCGTTGAATCCACCGGTGGGGTCAATTTCGATCAAGATCGACGCGTGACGTCATGCCTGTAGAAAGTAGTAGGTGCGCCCAGCAAAGGCAGGGTGGATTCAAGTAGATATTTTAGGTGTGGTCGAGAAGCCGAGAAGATATGAGCTGCGAGCCATGATATTACTATTCCCTGATGGGTAGCACAACGTAGTCACTACTTGAACCCGGTTGAGCTACTAAGTACGCGGGCGTCTCTGCCTCTGTTGATTGGTAAGAAAGCTGTGCGAGCGAAACAAGAAAACCAGAGGGATCGCACCAATAGACTTTAGCTCCGCGTCCGGGTTTGTTCCCAATCTGTTTGTTGCAGTCACCCCCCGACTACTATCCACTGCAGACAACAGCTTGGCACAAGAGAGCATCATCGCAGATTGATTTTCGTTTTGTTGCTCCGCTTCTTTGGCCAGTCGATACCCCGCCGGGCATTCACCCACAACATCCGTTCCTGTAAACAGATGAGCACAATACAGACTATGTGCAATATTAGATGTACGGTGTTGAAACCATTCGATAAGCATCGTGTTTTGAGGCTCTTTGTACGCCAACCTGGATTTGGAAGCGAATGGTCGGAAATTCCTAGGGCAGCGGGATTGCGTCGCGAGCAAGACATCGACGCCTAATGTCAAAAGCAGCTCCCTATCGTCGCTTCGGGTCGCCGGTACACACGTCCACATGTCGCTGTTCTTGATCTCCATCAGGTCCGCCCAGTCCTGCGGGTCGAGAATCAGCGCCAAAGCAGGCCCGAACCTGCTCGCGCTTATGATGCTTTGGATTGACACCAAAACGAGATGCAGGTTATCCAGGATCTCCTCGAGGTCACTGTCCAACAATCTAGCTATGCTGGGATTGTTGAGCATGTCATGGGCGAAGAGAACTCTCTCCAGGTCAGTTCATAAATAAACGACAGAGCATGAGGAGACTGCGAGGGGGAATGATTCCGCGTTGACTGAGGCATAAAACTTGCAAAACGGATCAGCGGTTGCCGAGATACGACGGTAACGGGCAGAAAAATGTTGGCAGCTGCGGTGAAGGTAGAAGTTCCGCGTGAAACGAGCCACGGAACAGAAACGGATCCCAAAAGCGAGAGACGGCAAAACGACGACCTTCGAGTAAAATACTTGCAATTGTACGAAAGAGAGCAGAGTGTACAGAGGTGGGGGGTCTGAATCGACTGGAGCTGACGATGTGGCCGAGTCAAGAGGTGCCAAGCAGTGCAGCGAACGGGAGAAATATGTACTACTTGCAGACTTGCGGCTAGCTTCAACGGCGGAAAGAGCTGTGAGAGACCGGCTCCAGTTTGAATATAACCAGTCAGAAACCACATTTGTTGGAAAGAAAGCAGCATGTGCTGCGGCGAGAGGGTGAGCAGCCAGTGATGACAGAAGAGGCTGAGCAGACTCAGAGACAGGAGAGACTGGGCATTAAACAAGTCCCTATGAAAGCTACCCGGAGCTGTACGCGTCAAAATATATTTGAGACAGGAGACCTAGACCTCATAAACGCGAGTACGTCCATCAGTGAATTACGGAACCACTGTTCGAGAAAGCTTCAGCTTCACACGAGTCAAATGTCGGCACAAGAGTGTCGCAGGGATGTAAAGTGTTCCACGTAAAATGTCGGTATAGCACAAGAGTCGGAGGAATGGGAAGTGTTGCACGTATAAGCGTTAGACTCCCAACAAATCTAAAATTGAGCTGACCACTGCAGGCCCATTGCAGGCAATTTACACGCGGCAACACGACAAGGCCACGTAGTAGATGTTCATTAGTTGATATGTTTGCGATCGGTACCGGGAGACATTGGCTTTGGACTTGCGTTTGATTCCATACTGTGGTGAAGACAGAATAAAAGAGAGTCCTGCTTTGGAAACTAGTTGAAGCTGCAGCAAAGCCTTTTGCTGCAGCGAGCAAAAGTAGGCGCCGCGGGGAACCGTGGCCGTCGATGGAGACGAAAAGGGATGATTTTGATCGCAGTCGGTTACACAGCCTTACCCTTCCTAGTGTCTACCTTCACCATCTCAGTGCATATCTGACTCGTTCATATTAACCCAGCATGTCCAACCCCCAGGCCACGCAGTATCCGCCCAATGCAGTCTTTGACGACTTCACCGCGGATTTCAACAAGGACTTTGCGTCCTTTCAGAGCCCCTCTGACATCCTCGCACCCCATCCCGATCTCTTTGAGCTCGAACTCGACTCTAGTCTTGCTGGTTTCGACGATAATCAACTTCAGCTCTTGACCATCGACTCCCACGACGTGTACTCGTTCCTGAGGTCCGACACGCCCACTCGTGGCCCCCCCTCCAACATTACCGCTTCCTCCGAGTCGGCGTATGATTCCCTGTCGTCCTATTCCGAGTCTTTCTATAACTACCCTCATTCCCCCCACCCTCCCTCCAACTATTCCTTCCCCCTCGACCTGGAGATGGACTTCCAACGCATTCGCGTGGACGCATCTGCATCAGACTATGCCGCAGCTCAGGCCAGCGGTGATGCCGCAGCACCTTTCGGTGCCACCCCGGCGCCTGACACCTCCCGCAGCACCTCCAAGTTCTATACAAAAGCGTACGAGTCCCGTACGACTTTCTCAGACTACGGACCCTCCACCAGACGCCCCTCCATTCCTGTTGACTTATACAGTCAACTCAACTTCAACAATCAACCTATCGCTGGACCTACGGTTTCACCCTCCCATATCACCACCCAGCTCCCTATTATACCAGCAGGACAGATGGCGCACGTATCAGAGGAAGAAGACTACAAGGGCGGCGACTCGCGCAAAAAATACAAGTGCTCTGCCTGTCCGCGAGGTGGATTCATTTGCCACTTCTACTTCTTTATCGTTGCTCATTCTTTTCCTTGTTGCAGCATTCGCGCGTGCGTACAATCTCAAAACGCACATGGCTACGCACGACCCCAACCGCCTCAAGCCCCACGTCTGCCCCCATCGGTCGTGTGGTCGCTCGTTCAGCCGCAAGCACGATCTCGGTCGCCACCTCATCAGCATCCATCGCGATGAGTCCCAGCGCGAAGGCTCTGTCTGCTCGTCGCACCACTCGGTTGGATCGAAGCAGTCCATCGGCGTGGAACAGGGAACGCGCAGATGGTGTGATCGCTGCGGAAAGGGACTTGTCGGACACGCAGTTGACTGCGATTGCACGTAGATCATTTATTTCTCCTTTGTGATACTTCTTTTCGTGTGCGAGACTCCGTTGATTTCCTTCATCTCACAGTTCGCTGACTCTTCCCGCAGGCCCTTACGTCACCCTCAGTCGGCTCCGCAGTTTCTGGCCACATGCACTTCTGGTGCTCAACCCAGATACTGTGTCCCTCCCTGCGTCATTCGATGTGTTGCGTATCGTACCGCCCTGTACTCGGTGCTTGGCCCAGCGACGAACGTGATCTCGACATGAATTTCTCTATCGTTCGGGTGTCTGTTTGCGTTCGACAACTCGATTAATACTTCAGTCTTCTTTATCTTCTCTCGTACTCTCTCGTACTCACATATGTTCTGCACCGTGCTCTCCTAGTTTTTTACAACACTATATATCTGTGGGAATCCCAATGTACAGTACCTTGCCCAAATGAAGTCTCGATTACCGAAACGAGCTTGGAAGAATAAGCAGTTTATTCTTGGCTGCGTTGTTCAATCGATTAGAAAGCGATTCGGAAGTTGGTATGTAGAAGCTTTTCGTCACTGGCGTTGAATGGCCAAATAGGCGCAGTCAGGTGACACCTGAAATCGACTTTGCTTTCGACCGCCACGCGCTTCGACGCGTTCAAGTTCTTTCTTACCATGGACGTTAGCGATTTGCATCCTGCCGACGACTACAGCCATAGGTTCTTCATTTGGCACGAGTGGATCCAGGTGCTAAACGCCATGTTACGATAAACCCAGCTAACGGTACTCCAGGCAAATGGCCCATTAACCTCGGAAAATGTCTTTGATTACTTTACTACCTCCATGTTCTACGACAAGCAGAGCAATAATCAGGTGTTACGGATGCAAACAATGCATACCGGAACAGCGATCGCGAATGAGGCAGAGGAGCTAAGGCACGCTTGCTTGCCACCGACTCAATCATCCCGGAAGCTGAACCGCGAAAACAGACGATTCACGGGCGTTGAATTCGCTGTGGTACACGCGCAGCCGCCATCCATGTTCATTATTCATAAACGCGAACGGCTGAGTCCCGACGAAGGTATGTTGTTTGCTTACATTACTTCAGGTAACTACTGAAGTATCAACAAGTCCGCCCCTTGTCCGCATATTTCATCATGAACAACAGGATTTATCAGTCGCCAGACGTTTACACTGTCCTCTCGAATCGGCTGGTGCGATCTGCTTTGTAAAAGGGAGGCTTGGAGAGTAACGAAGTTTTCCTCAGCTCACTTCACTATACTCTTTGCAGTCATCACTGGACATCTTGCGGAGTCGACGTCCTGACTATATTCCCCGAACAGGATTTGTATGGCCTATCGTTGACTCTGCGGCACCAGCGGATGACCTCAAGAAGAAAGCGGCGGGCGAGGAAGGTGCCGGCACTGGTACCGACAGCCGGAGTGTCTCTGAAGCACCTGAAAACAAGCCAAAAGTTCCTCAGAGGTAGTGATATATGCTATTCTCCCAAGCTCCGAACTGAAGCGAGTTCCAGACAGCAAAACAGCTTATTGTTAATGAACGCAATGCGAGCGACGGCGTTACATTCCAAAACGGCCTTTTCGGCCAGCACTCTGGAAAACGTAGAGTCCATGACGGAAACTCCAGCGGCCCAAGGCGCCCGGAATTCTGCCACCCCGGCTCCCGCCCCGCCAGCGAAAGCGCCAGGGACGCCACAAGTGCCTCAAGAACCCCCTTCTCGAGCGCTTCCCGGTGCAGGTAAGAAAAAGCGAAAACGTACGTGCCCAGTCTTCG